AGAGCTGCTCTGGGGCTCGGCACTGGGGGACACCAGCCCCGGGGGCGTGGACGACTCGTAGCCTGAGCTGGCGGCTGGGGAGGACTCGGAGCCCTGCGGAGAGGACTCATGGACCTGCAAGACAAAAGCCGGGAGGGGAGACCAAAGGGGACTGGGTGTGAGTGCAGCTGCTGTGGGGCCGGGCTCCCGGGGGAGAGCACCTCCAGGAAAGGCCCTCCCCGCCCGCCGGGGCCCCGGGGAACCCTGGCCTTCCCAGGCTGGCAGCGGTTGTCCGCGCCGGTTGGGAGCCGGCGCCGCGGGCCAGCGGCCTCACACTCCTCCCGGCCTCCCCGGTGGTACCTTCATGTGTTTCCGCAGCGAGCTGGGGTGCGTGTAGGACTTGTCGCACATCTTGCACAGATAGGGCTTATCGGAGGTGTGGACGTGCATGTGCTTCTTCCTGTCGCTGCTGTTGGCGAAGCGCCGGTCGCAGCCCTCGAACTCACACTGGAACGGCTTCTCCCCTGTGGATAGAAACAGGGGGCGCTTGCTGCCCACACCCAGACCTTCCCGGAGCCCCCACCCACTCTGGAGGGAACAAGGCCGCTGCCAGAAGGAAAGAGGAACTGGAAGGGCCTGGGTCCCTTAGCCAGGTCGGATCGCCTCTGTAGCTGAAGATGAAATTAACTGCCTTCCCACCTGACAGTCCTGCTCATTTATGTCATATTTTAATTGTCTTCCAGACTAACACCCATTTCCTGAGATTTATAATGAATTTGGGGTAGCACCCCGTCCTGCCCACCTTTCTATAGGGCTCCTTGGATTCGCAGCCTCTAACAAATTGGTCTCGCCATGGAGAAGCTGTTATTATGACAAAATATTTAGGGCATTATCAAAATCACACAGGCTGCTGGGCTGCTGTCGGTTTGTCTCTGGGGCCAGTAGGCAATTACATTTGGAGTTGCTATGTTGTTTGGGGATGGGACTGTGGATCATAACTGAGCCAGTATTTTTCATCCAAAATTCTGCAAATTAAATTAACCATTCTTCTAGTCTCACTTCCAGTCGGGGTGAAATAAGCCGGGGTAAAATAAGCCGGGGGAAAAAAAGGTAAATATTAGAGATAAGACAACATCTAGCAATTGCATAGGCACAGGCTGGGCAGTGGGGGGTGGGGGCGTCAGCAAAGGCTTTCAAAATCTCCCTGTTTAATTTTCTGGCGGTCCCTGCATCCTGTTGCCACAATTCCAAATGCTTGGAGTCATTTAGAGGTGTGAGAACTCAAACATCGTTCCTCTTGGAAAGGGGGCCATTTAACGTTAAATTCCATTAGCACCTAAATTGTTTTTTAAAGACATCCGCTCAGACACAGGACTCGAAAGCATTTCATGCAAATAAATTTCTCAAATTTTAAACCTTGTTAAAAGCTTGTCTCGCACCTCGGCTCCCTCCCTTCCCGGAAGAGAACAATAGGCCGCTGGCGCATCCCCACTTTGGAGTAAATATTGACGGGGGAAGTTGCTAAAACATTTGGCTTTCTTTTAGGAAATCGTCTGGCACGATTTTGGCTGGGACCTGGTCAGAGATGAATAATCTATGAGGCGAGAGGCGCGTTCTTTTGCAGCTCCCTCTTCTCACGCGATTGCCCCGCGGGGCCGCGCTGCCCCGGGGTTTTCTCTGACCGAGTTGTTGGTCCAAGTTTGGAATCGCAAACCCTCTGGTGCCCATCAGAGACTTTCACAAACTATTGCGAATCCACCGTAAAGCCCCGTGACCTACCCCTAAATAGGCTTTAAAAGCACTTTTTTTTTTTTTTTTTTTTTTTTTTTAACAAGAAATGCTATACAGTTTCGGCTCGCATCAGACTCGTTTAATGGAAAAACAGTCCCGGGAAGGACGTTTGGACCCGGAGTAAAAGAAGTGGGAAAACACACAAGCCACCCAACACAGACACACAGCCGGAGCAGAAAAGCACATCCAGACAAGCTGGCAAAATCCTCTCTAGGCTCGATTCCCGGGCGCCGAGTTGGAGAGCAGTTTTATTTTGTGCGTTCTATCTAGAACGGAAATTATTAACCAAGGCTGAGCAAATGAAGCAACTGCATCACCCAAAACATATATTTGATGTTACACTGATCATTTAAAACTCAGTTTCCGTACATGGAAAAACCCAGCCCGATACTATTCTTTCATTCCAACAAAAACAAGCCGCTGGCTGTCTCCGGTACACAAAAACATCTCCCATCCGAAAGCAGGGGCTGGCGGTCGGCGCGTTTCCCCCAGCCAACCAACCACAGCCTCTCTCCTCTCCGCGCCCCATCCCTGTCCCGGCCCGCAGTTACCTGTGTGGGTCCTTTTGTGGATCTTGAGGTTCTCGGAGCGCGCAAAGACCTTGCCGCAGCCCGGGAAGGGGCAGGGGAAGGGTTTCTCGCCTGTGTGCACGCGGATGTGGTTGACCAGTTTGTATTTGGCCTTGAAGGGTTTACCCTCGCGCGGACACTCCTCCCAGAAGCAGACGTGGTTGCTCTGTTCCGGGCCGCCGACGTGCTCCACGGAAACGTGGGTCACCAGCTCGTGCATGGTGCTGAAAGTTTTGTTGCAGCTCTTCTTGGGGTTGCTCAGCTGCTCCGGGTCGATCCACTTGCAGATGAGCTCCTGCTTGATGCACTGCTGCCGCATGTAGCGGAAAAAGGCACCAGGGTGGTGGTGGTGGTGGTGGTGATGGGCCGCGGCCGCTGCCATGTTCATACCCATGTTCATATTCATGGGGCCGTACTGGTTGTGGAGCTGCGCCGCTGAGTAGGGGTCGGTCCGCGGGCTGGCCACCTGGCGGTACTGCTCCGAGCGCCCGAATACCTCGCCCGGCAGCCCCAGGCGCATCTGCCCGTTGAGCACATTCTGAGAGCCGTGCGGCCCGTGCTGCTCCGGGAGGCCAGGAAAGAGGAGGTGACCCTGCGCGTCCGAGTGCGCATGGTGCAGGCCGCCGGCTCCTGGCCCAAACAGCCCATGCTGTCCGCCGCCCGGCGCCGAATCCCCGAAGCCGCGGCTGCGGAACAGGAAGTCCCGGGTGGAGTTGAAAGGCGGCCCAGAGTAGGAGCCGACGTGCGCTGCATGGGGCCCGAGCGCGGCGGCGGCGGCGGCAGCCGCAGCAGAGCCGGGGTAGGCGCCGGGGCCCTGCGACGTGAACGCCGAACTCTGGCCGGGGGACAGCTCGTGCGCGCCTGGGTTGAGCTTGAAGGCGCCCATGTGCGCGGCGGCCGAGTCCACGAAGCCGTTCTGCGCCGCGGCCAGACTCAGTTCGCGGTCCTGCATCTCGGCAGCAGCCGCCGCCGCCGCCGCGGCCGAATGGTGATGGTGGCGCGCGAAGCTACCCACCCCGATGGCCGGGAACTGCGGCCCCGCGTCCAGGAGCATGGCCAGCGCGCCCACCCGCCCCGCCGGCCCCGGCGAGCCCCGCGCCTCCTCCGCTCCCACTCCCGCCCCGCGCGCTGTGCGTCCAGCGGCCGCCCGGCTCCGAGCGCAGGCGGCGGTGGTGGTGGCGGCTTCAGCCCCGGGAGCCGCGCTCCTGCGCCCGCCGCCTCCGCCGCCGCCTGGATCTGCCTCCGGCGGCCGGGCGCGGAGCGAAGGCGCGGAGAGGAAGAGGAGGAGGAGGCGGCGGCGGAGGAGGCGCGGGAGGAGGAGGAGGAGGAGGTGGAGGAGGAGAAGAGTCCAAAGCCAGGCGGAGAACCAAAGTGTATTAAAGGAGCTGCGGCGGGGGCGGGCGGGCAGGGCAGGGGAGGGCGGGCGGGAGGAGGGAGCGGGAGGGAGGTGTGGGGAGCTCAGCGGAGAGGGGGGCCAACGGGGGGCGAGCGCAGCGCCGCGGCCCCCACCCCTGCGCGCACTCGCGCGCGCACGCACACACTCACTCGCTCACCAGCCCCGCGGACCCGGGGCCCGGCAGCACCAAGCGGCGCCGGCAGAATGAAATCACAGCAGCGGCGGGGCCACGGTGCCCGAGCGCGGCGGCTGTGCAACGGGACAGGCAGGAGGGCGAGGAGGGGACGGAGGCGAGCTCTGCGCTCCGCGCCCCGGCCCGGCGCGCCTGCGGCTCCACCTGACCGCGGCGGGGGCACAAGGGCGGCGGGCGGAGGCCGGGCGCCCGCTCCGCCGCGCGCTTGGTCGGCCGCTCCCTCCCCCGCGGCCCTACTCGCGCCGCCCCGTGCGCGGCGGGTATTGTTCGGAGCCGCGGCCGAGGTGTTTAGCCCTCCTCGTCCTCCGCGCTTGGCATTGGCTGCGCCTCGCGTAGTAAACTTGCAGCAGCCACGAATTCCCCCAGATGAAGGAAGCGGCCGCGCCGCTCCCTCTTTCTTTAAGTTGTGCGGGAGGAGGAGGAGGGGGAGGAGGAGAGATTGGGGCTGTGGGAGGGGAGAAGGCTAGCAGAGGGAGGGGAGGAGGGGAGGCTAGGCTGAAAAACAATAACAACAATAAAAAAGTGATCTCTAGCTCGCTCGCTCCCTCTCGCCGGTCGGTTCGGGGCGCTGGACCCGGAGCCGGCAGCCGCACTCCTGAGGACCGACCGGTGTCCGAGACCCGAGCAAGTGCGAAGAGGCCAAATCAGGTCCCCCCTTTTCTGCTGCGGTGGGCTTCGTTCGCCACCACCTCTACCTCTGTTTATTTCGGTGGGCGCTACAGACGCCGCCGCAAGCCTTTTTTTTTTTATTTTTTGGTTCCTCCTTTTCCCCGGCCCCCCCCCCCCGCCTCGCCCCCACGTCTCCCGCCCCGACCTCCCTCCCTCTCCCCCTCTCTCCCTCCCTCCCGCTCCAGGCCGGGACTCCCGGTCACACCGCCCCTTTAACGGCGGCTCCCGCCCCACCCGCCCTTCCGTCGCGGCCATTGGCCGCCGAGGCCCCGTCAATCCGGTGCCCCCGCCCCGCGGCTGATCCGACACTCCTCCCCCGCTCTCCCGAAGCTCCCCGCTGCCCCGGCAGCCGCGGATCCCGCGGATCTTCCCAGCCAGCCCGGCCTGCCAGCCTACAGCTCCTCGCCTGAGCGTCCGGCGCCGCGGCTCATGTTCGCGGCTGGCCGCTGCGCTCCCCGGAGCCAGGAGGCCGGCGTAGCGCTGGCCTGGACCGCGGGGTCACTGTGCCCTTGGCCGGGTCCGGAGGACACAGCACCCTGCACTCGCGCCCTTCTGCAGAGGCCACCGACTCCCCGGGGACCCGAGCCACTCCTGACGGGCACCGAGAGCGGGCAGTCGTGGTCGCTCGAGAACTTGGTTAGCAACCGGGTTCGCCGGGCGAGAGGTTTCCACGCGCCGGGACTCTACAGGCCCTGGGCCCCGTCGGGAGCGCGCGGTGGGGAGCGTCCCGGGAACCGGTCCCCTGATCGGTTGGCACGCTATCTTCTCCCCCCACCCCCCCCCTTTTTTTTTTTTTTTAAACTTAGTGGTATTGAAAACACAGGTGCTGGATGGTGGGCCCAGGTAAAACCAGACTTGCCCGTTCCTTCTGGTCTCTGGACACTCACCCAGACACCACCCCCCTCCCAGGCTGTGGCCCCCACCCCCAGCTCGGCGCGCTCTGCTCCCCCCGCCGCTCGCGTCCCGCTCCGATTACAGCAGTAAACACTGGGCAGCGGCCCCCGGGAGGGAGGGGGTTGATTGGAAGTCGTTTAAAGACAGTGTTATCCTCGGGGTGGATGCCCAGATGCCCCAGCCGCTGCCACCGTGGGGTGGGAAGTATGGGGCCGGCGGAGGCGCGCGGCCAGGCAAGGCTCTGGCTGGAGTTTGACCGAGGGTCAGGCTCAGGGCCTCCAGAGAAGAAACCTCCAGACCGGTAGGGCTTAAACCTGCTAGAAGATATTAATCACTGCTTCTCCAGGAGCGGGGAATCCCTCCACGCCTTCGGGCGGTGGCGGGGCCGGGTGGCTGCTCCCTTCGCTGCGCCAGGCCTTCCTCGCGGCTCTGGGGCTACAACCGCCCCCCTCTCCCGGCCTCCCACCCCGGCTCCTGGTTGTCCGTTGGGGACATTTCCTATCCCGCTGCGGAAAGCTTGTGCTCCCAGAGGTAACGGGAGAGGGTTACCGCGGGCCCGGAGGCTGCAGAGGTGTGAATGAAAGGCCTGAAGCCAGAGCCTTCCTTCGCCTAGCTGGCTCCGAGAACTGCTTTTATTTACAAGTCTATGGGAGTTGAAATAAAATTCAAGTAAGAGAAGATAATCAATACGCATTTAAAATGTTCATGTTGAAGTGAATCAACAAAAACGCGGGAAGACAACTCTTGCTCGCTATTGCTGGACGAACCCGGGCTTTCTATCGCCGGCACAGGCAGCCTCTCCTGGCTTAAGCGGGTGTCTGCAGGTCAGAGCTGGCCGCAGCCCCTTGCTTAAGGTGCCCTGTGCCATCCCGCTGCCCACCCCTCGTTGCGGTTGGAGGGTGGCAAGAAGGAAGGAGTCTGGGTCTTCTTGTCTGAAAGCCCGAGATTTTGTCTGGAAGCTGGAGATTCTCGCCTTACCTGAAAGGAGGAAATGTTTCTCCTTTCCACACACCTCTCTCTCTGTTGGGGGTTGGGGGCGTGGGCCGCAAATACCAACCCCCTAAGCAGAAAGGGCATTAAGAGAGAGAGAGATAGAGACAGAAAGAGAGAGAGAGAGAGAGAGAGAGAGAGAGAGAGAGAGAGAGAGAGAAAATCTCCAGGGAGAAAAGGCTGCCTTGCTACATTGAATCAATAAAAAATTACCCAGTGCACAGCCTTGCACACTTGTTTACTTTATTCATCAATTTATATGGGGGGTCGGAGTGAGGGAGAATATTGGAAAAGCTTACTCCAAAAACATTTACAAAATAAAATATTTTCTTAGAGATTGGGCATGAGAATTGCAGTCCTGCACATCTAAAAACCTCCCTTCCCTCCTTTTCTCCAGCATCAGACTTCAAGTGTCCCTCCTTTCCCACTTTCTCGCCTCCTCCCCACTCCTCTGTCCCTCTCCTCATTTTCCCATTCTCTACCTTCGCTTTGATTCCCTTTTTGCAGCGCCTGCAGTTCGGGCTGGCGCGGCTGGGCGCTGGCTCACGGTAGATTCCGGGGGCCGCGTGCAACCGGGTGGTGGGGCAGACTCCTTAATTCCCACCGGAGAGCCCGCGGGCTGGGCCCTCCTGACTATTCTTTCCCGGCTCCAGTTCTCTCTCTGCAGGACACAGAGGAGCTGAGCCAAGTTCAAAGTCATGTCGCCATACCCTCTTAGAAGTGCTTTATTTCTCTACAAACCGCAAAGCCCCTTTCCCTCATAACACACTATTCTTTTATTATTATTATTATTATTATTATTATTCTTTTTTTTTTTAAGGAAGAAAAAGAAGAGCAAGAAAGCAAGGGGGAAAAAAAACTGCAAAGGCTTTCAGAGTCATTGCCTCAAAAGTAGATTTGGGTTCCTTGGCGGGAGGGAAAAAAGCGGCTAGGCTGCGTTCTGTACCTTGTAAGTGATCAGTTTTTCAACAGGTTTCAGGAAGGGCCCGCGTTGGCGGTGTCAGACCCCCGGGATCCACAACTGTTTCCATCGGGCAAACATGTTCCCCGTTTGTAAGTTCTCCAAAATTGTTCTTTGACGATCTCATCGTTCCCCCCGCGGGGTGGGTGCCTGGGGCTGGACAGAGTTGGGGCTTTGCTTCATGTGGATGGTCCCGGCCGGCCGGCCCATGGGCTCAGGGTCTGGCGTCCATTCTCCCCTGCCATAGAGAATTTGTCTTCAAAAATGGCAAATCCCATCAAACACCCAGGCACTCATTCGCTGAGCACCTCGTTGTGGTTTGTGGGCCTCTGTGAACGGTTGACTGACTTCTTTTGTAGCATGACCAGTATTTTGTGTGCACACATACATAAAAACAATGTGTATGTACACAATACAACATACTCTCACACACACACAAAGGTATATCTTGCCAGCCAGGAGAAGCCAAAAACAAACAAGCAAACAAAACTGACCTTTAAATTGGAAAACATAAATACTCTGTGTCCATACTATTCAAAATTTTAATTTCCTCTTTAGGAAAGGGGTGGGAAGGGGGTAAAGATGAGAGAAACAAATGTGGAATCAGCTGTCTATATACACCAGGCCAAAAAAAAAAAAAAAAAGGATTTTAGCACCATCCTCAGTATCACAGACTCATAAATTCAACAAGATCATCAACAGGATATTAAGTTGCAGGGCACCTTTGATTCAGCCCTCTCAGCCACTCCTGGGCTGGGCGACCCCTGACCCATGAAGGACCACATGTGTGGTGGGGGAGCCCCCTCTGTGAAACCCACCTAGAACAAAAGTTCTTTGTCAGAGCTTCAGAGAAGTGTAATGTAAAAAGAGAGAGAGAGAGAGAGAGAGAGAGAGAGAGAGAGAGAGAGAATCTGCAATGTGAAAGAAGGGGAAATCATGAAAATCTCAGCCAATGTTGTAACTTTTAAATACCAT